CCCCCCAACCCACACATACTAAGCATACGCACTCCTAGGACACACGTGCACACGTAAGCACCAATGTTAGCAGACCTGATGTTGATTTATATATCAGCTTCCTGTACTGCAGACTGGGAGAGGGAGGGGCAGCACTGGGAGCCAATCACATCTGCTCTATGCACATGTGATGACAGGGAGCAGAGGGATGACCTCATCAGTGTCCTGCTGCTCCTTCACTGTCTAATAACAGACAAAAGCAAAGGGGAGGGGCCAAGCTGTATTGAACCACAGCAGAGAGAAGTCGGTTTGCCATCCCGGCTGTGCTCTCCTCTGTGTAAATCTCAGGACCGGCTGCGCAGAACTGATAAAGATCTCCCACAATGACAGATGCAGCATTTATAATCTGACAGGTTCTCTTTTATTTGTCATCGGGAGATGTCGTGTCCCCCCTCCCCCTCATTTATCTGCGTCGTTGCTGGTTCTCTGGAAGGACGCCGCGTGCGTTGCAGTCGCCCGCCTCCCCGTCCGGTGCTCAGTCACGGCGCAATCTGTCGCTTGATAACGTCATGTCAACAGCAGACGAGCGCAGCTGCGCCGGGCGGCTTTTTATAGCCCTTCGTGACGCGCGTTGCGTTCCGATCTGAATCCGGAAATCTCCGAATGAATCTAGGTCACTCATCGCGGCGGCCGCGTACAAAGCCACGCGCGGTAATCCGCCGACGCTGGTTATCCCTCCCGGCGGGGGATGGTAGGTGAACGGGGGAGCGTCTGGAGGGAATTTATATACTGAAAGATAAAAACAGAATTCATCCCAATAATCCAACCGGAAACCCGAGCCTGGTCATGTGACCAACGCCGAGGTCTCTGCTGAGGTCAGGGGTCGCCATTTGGGGATGGTTAACCCTTTCCTGACCAGAGGTCACTGATGCCCAACTATAAGTCTCTGTCCTCTGTGCCACATCACCTGCCCATTATGAGGGGCTCCCACCATCCCTGTGCTGAGTTCCCGGGTCTGTACACCCGCTGTGCCCATTATGAGGAGCCCCCACCATCCCTGTGCTGAGTTCCCGGGTCTGTACACCCGCTGTGCCCATTATGAGGAGCCCCCACCATCCCTGTGCTGAGTTCCCGGGTCTGTACACCCGCTGTGCCCATTATGAGGAGCCCCCACCATCCCTGTGCTGAGTTCCCGGGTCTGTACACCCGCTGTGCCCATTATGAGGAGCCCCCACCATCCCTGTGCTGAGTTCCCGGGTCTGTACACCCGCTGTGCCCATTATGAGGAGCCCCCACCATCCCTGTGCTGAGTTCCCGGGTCTGTACACCCGCTGTGCCCATTATGAGGAGCCCCCACCATCCCTGTGCTGAGTTCCCGGGTCTGTACACCCGCTGTGCCCATTATGAGGAGCCCCCACCATCCCTGTGCTGAGTTCCCGGGTCTGTACACCCGCTGTGCCCATTATGAGGAGCCCCCACCATCCCTGTGCTGAGTTCCCGGGTCTGTACACCCGCTGTGCCCATTATGAGGAGCCCCCACCATCCCTGTGCTGAGTTCCCGGGTCTGTACACCCGCTGTGCCCATTATGAGGAGCCCCCACCATCCCTGTGCTGAGTTCCCGGGTCTGTACACCCGCTGTGCCCATTATGAGGAGCCCCCACCATCCCTGTGCTGAGTTCCCGGGTCTGTACACCCGCTGTGCCCATTATGAGGAGCCCCCACCATCCCTGTGCTGAGTTCCCGGGTCTGTACACCCGCTGTGCCCATTATGAGGAGCCCCCACCATCCCTGTGCTGAGTTCCCGGGTCTGTACACCCGCTGTGCCCATTATGAGGAGCCCCCACCATCCCTGTGCTGAGTTCCCGGGTCTGTACACCCGCTGTGCCCATTATGAGGAGCCCCCACCATCCCTGTGCTGAGTTCCCGGGTCTGTACACCCGCTGTGCCCATTATGAGGAGCCCCCACCATCCCTGTGCTGAGTTCCCGGGTCTGTACACCCGCTGTGCCCATTATGAGGAGCCCCCACCATCCCTGTGCTGAGTTCCCGGGTCTGTACACCCGCTGTGCCCATTATGAGGAGCCCCCACCATCCCTGTGCTGAGTTCCCGGGTCTGTACACCCGCTGTGCCCATTATGAGGAGCCCCCACCATCCCTGTGCTGAGTTCCCGGGTCTGTACACCCGCTGTGCCCATTATGAGGAGCCCCCACCATCCCTGTGCTGAGTTCCCGGGTCTGTACACCCGCTGTGCCCATTATGAGGAGCCCCCACCATCCCTGTGCTGAGTTCCCGGGTCTGTACACCCGCTGTGCCCATTATGAGGAGCCCCCACCATCCCTGTGCTGAGTTCCCGGGTCTGTACACCCGCTGTGCCCATTATGAGGAGCCCCCACCATCCCTGTGCTGAGTTCCCGGGTCTGTACACCCGCTGTGCCCATTATGAGGAGCCCCCACCATCCCTGTGCTGAGTTCCCGGGTCTGTACACCCGCTGTGCCCATTATGAGGAGCCCCCACCATCCCTGTGCTGAGTTCCCGGGTCTGTACACCCGCTGTGCCCATTATGAGGAGCCCCCACCATCCCTGTGCTGAGTTCCCGGGTCTGTACACCCGCTGTGCACATTATGAGGAGCTCCCACCATCCCTGTGCAGGAACAGAGCGGGGAATGGTCAGGCAGATCTCAGTGTTGGGACATATTAGATGGCGGTGGGCGGAGTGTATATGAAGGGGTTAATGCCGGTGGGGGAGGGTGCGCGCTCTCACGTGTGGCGTGTTGCTATATCCGGCTCGGTCTCGGGAGGAATCCTGCAGTCTCTGACCCTCTCTTGTAGTATCTCTGCAGTCTCTGACCCTCTCCTGTAATATGTCCTAAAACTTCTCTGGTGTTCTCTTGTTGATACAGAAATACCCCCCGAAGAAGGACCTTGTACGGGCTGTGTCCATACAGACCGGGTACCTCATACTTGGAGGAGGACGCAACAGCTCTACCCTCATCTACCTGGCCCAGGTTGATCCCAGAGGTGAGTGGCACATGCTATGAGGAGATATGTTCCCTCAGAGAGGTTCAAGGTTCTGTCCACCCGGATGAGATATTTCATTTATAGGGGGATCCCGGAGGGGCTGAGCATCTCTTACCCTATGTATGGCCAACAGTCTGTGGACGCCTGACCATCACATCTCAAGAGTTTGTTGGCCATCACATTCCAAAACCATGGCCATTAATAGGGAGTTGCCCCCTTTGAGGCTGTACCATCCCCCGCTCCTTCCACAAGATTTTGGAGGGTGTCTATGGGAATTTGTCCCATGTGTGAGGTCAGGTGCTGATGTTGGAGGAGAAGGCCGGGCTCACAACTGGTGTTCCCAAAGGTCTTCAGTAGGGTTGAGGTCAGGGCTCTGTGCAGGACACTCAAGTTCCTCCACACCCTACTGACTTAGCTCCAATTCATCCCAAAGGCGCTCAGTAGGGTTGAGGTCAGGGCTCTGTGCAGGACACTCGAGTTCCTCCACCCCAAGCTGGTCACACCATGTCTTTATGGAGCTGGCTTTGTATACAGGGGGCAGTCATGGTGGGAACAGAAAAGGGTCTTCACCAAACTGTCACCACAAGGCAGGAAGAGAACAACTGTGTACAATGTCTTTGCATGATGGAGTATTGACAGGACACTTCACTGGTGACCTCTGACCTCCATCATTTGGTGGTGGGTCCACAGGCATCTGGCCGTATAGCATACAACTAGGGTTATGTCCCCTCAGATCATCAGCGGACTCATCTCCATAGCTCAGCTTTGTAAATGTTGAATCCGTAGAAACGTTTTATGTTTCCAGGAGGATCCGGTGATACAAATGTCATTAGAACGTCACTGAAGGTCTGTTCTCCTTCTGTCCGCAGGTTCCTTACCCAAATGGGTCGTGAATAAGTCCTCACAGTTTCTGGCTCCAAAGGTAAGTCAGTTGTAGTTTCTTAAAACCCAACTCCGGGCAAATGGAACAAAAAATGTCCCCTGAAGCTTTGGCTGCAATGCCCACCGGCTCTCCGGAGGTTCTTATCTCCTCCGGAAGATATTCAGTTCCATCACTGGATGTCTTCAGTCTCCCAGATTGAGGAACACCCAGCGTCATTCAGCCCTGTAGACCGAGGACAACAGATGAGTGTAGGGCTTCCCAGAATAGATTTTTGGGGTGACCTTCTAGAAAGGACCTTTCCTCACTCTTCCTGGAGAAGGATGAACCTGTGACGAGGGCCCATACCTCAGAGGCTTTGCCTGGTGAGGATGTCTATGTAGAAAGGTCCAGCCTTCACCTACCAGGCCAGGTGTAGGAAGACAGAGTGAAGAAGGGCTGTTCTTTTCGGGCCTGAACCTGGGTCTACAGAAGAAGGATTTTGTTCTGTTGGGAGCCTGAGCCCGAGTCCCAGGAGTCCAAAGCTGGTCTATGCAAAGGCCTAAAGTACCTAAAAGCTGCCCTTTTGGCAGAGGCTTACAGAACCTAGGGAATCGTAACTGGCCTGTGGCAGAGATCTATGGAACCATAACTGGCCTGTGGCAGAGGTCTACAGAATCTAGGGAACCATAACTGGCCTGTGGCAGAGGTCTACAGAACCTAGGGAATCATAACTGGCCTGTGGCAGAGGTCTATAGAACCTAGGGAACCATAACTGGCCTGTGGCAGAGGTCTAAAGAACCTAGGGAACCATAACTGGCCTGTGGCAGAGGTCTAAAGAACCTAGGGAACCATGACTGGCCTGTGGCAGAGGTCTATAGAACCTAGGGAATCATAACTGGCCTGTGGCAGAGGTCTAAAGAACCTAGGGAACCATACCTGGCCTGTGGCAGAGGTCTAAAGAACCTAGGGAATCATAACCGGCCTGTGGCAGAGGCCTAAAGAACCTAGGGAACCATACCTGGCCTGTGGCAGAGGTCTATAGAACCTAGGGAACCATACCTGGCCTGTGGCAGAGGTCTATAGAACCTAGGGAACCATAACTGGCCTGTGGCAGAGGTCTATAGAACCTAGGGAACCATAACTGGCCTGTGGCAGAGGTCTATAGAACCTAGGGAACCATAACTGGCCTGCGGCAGAGGTCTATACAACCTAGGGAGCCATAACTGGCCTGTGGCAGAGGTCTAAAGAGCCTAGGGATTCATAACTGGCCTGTGGAAGAGGTCTAAAGAGCCTAGGGAACCATACCTGGCCTGTGGCAGAGGGAACCATAACTGGCCTGTGGCAGAGGTCTACAGAACCTAGGCAATCATAACTGGCCTGGGGCAGAGATCTAGGGAACCATAACTGGCCTGGGGCAGAGATCTAGGGAACCATAACTGGCCTGCGGCAGAGATCTAGGGAACCATAACTGGCCTGCGGCAGAGATCTATAGAACCTAGAGAATCATAACTGGCCCGTGGCAGAGGCCTAAAGAACCTAGGGAACCATAACTGGCTTGTGGCAGAGGTCGAAGTGACAAGAAGATGGCATCTTTTGGGGAGTCTGTTGCTCACCTATTCCAGGTACTTGTGACGGTCCTGCTATGTAGAGTCAGGGGACCAATCTCTTATAAGAAGGCTGCTACTGAAGTATTAGAGCCACCATTAGCCTTGCTGGTAGTAGAAGGTTGCTCTTTGAGGGACCACTGCCAGTTGCTGCTACTTGAAGGCCTGGGATATGTTTGCTGTTTTTTTGGGGTGTCCTGTGGCCCTAACCTTCCCTCCACAATTTATTGGGCAAATAAACCTAAAAACCTTGAATGAGTCTGAAGTGTGATTGCCACTATTGGTGGTTTGTTGGGCGCAGCTACAAAGTGGGTCACCATTTGGAAGGCAGGAGACCCCGGTACACTCCAGCAGCACCTTTTAGGGTCGGTGCTATAGAAATGATAAATTCCGTTCTGCGCCATGCTGCGTGGCCGTGGATGGCCTCTCGTATGTCTGTCTCTACGTGCTTCTTCTAATATTATTTTCCCTATCCCCAGGCCATGAAGAAGATGTACAAGGCCTGCTTGAAGTACCCGGACTGGAAAAAGAAACACAACCCCCAGCACAAGCCCTGGCTGTACCCGGAGCAGAGCACCCTGCCCTCCATCAGCCTGTCCGAGGTGTCCGTCCAGCACGCCGACTCGCTGGAAAATATCGACGAGAGCGGCATGGCAGAGACCAAGGATGACCGAGGAGACGGGAGTGACGAAGACAGCGTCAACTGAGAGCGCAGAACCTTTGCCAGACCCTTAGCGGCGTTATGAGGACCAAAAGGAGGTGTCTTCATCCTACGATGTAGGGTTGGTGGAAAAAGACACGGGGGGG